TCAGCGACCCCTCTGACTTCCTCGTTGAGAACCGCTGCAAGAACTTCTCCAGCCTGCATCTATTTATTGTTGTTGTAGACTTTGAGCCATACATAGCATATATGAAGTGCTCCAAAACACTCTGGTCCTCTTCAGACATCACCTGTTTGCCACCCAATTGACAGAATGTTTGAATAAATGATGAATCTATCAGCATCAATTTATATGGCTTCACCTTTCCCTTCCTCATGAAAGAACTGGTGGTGTCACAGACAGTTAATGCCTGGAGACCAAGGAGTGCTTCACACACACCCGCACTGATGTCTTACCGTACTGCACTGATGTCAATCTACCTCTTTTTGTCTCCAAAACCAGTGTCCATGTAGACAGGGGCAGCAAACTTGTGTGAGTAACCAAGAAGAAGGGTAAACACATCAATGACAGGTGATCGAACAATGACAGCTGGGTTTTGATGTGCAGCATCAGCACATTGCAGCAGTCATTATTTCCAGCGCTTTTGTATAGGAGACACAGTGCCCAAACCGGTTGAGAAGGTTGATCATTTCTGCTTGCCCTGTCAGATGCCACAGAGACACACAAAGCATACTATGCTTGGAGGACATCCAATGTCCATTAGTGATTGCATACATTATGTTATTTGACAGTGAGGCTGCCACTCCTGCTTCTGGTCTGATAACTGTTTCTCTCCAGACAGAAGGGACTTTATATAGTGCAACAAATGTTGGGGTGGAGGAGTTTGGTCACGTAAGGTGTGACCAGGAGGTGGTGGCCAAGGCAGCTCAAATGACTTTGCATGGTCTAGCACTTCTCTCCTCAAAATGAGTGCTGCTTCTTCAAAGATCCTTGAGTCTGAGGCAGCAGCTTCGAATGCAGCCTCTACGCCTTACCTTGTGCAATGTTGGACGAATACACCAATTCACTGTGATAGTTTGGTTGCCAGAATTCAATAGAACGACCAAAATCGTTGATTAACTTTGCCTTCAGATACATGTTTTATAATCTGGATTGTAAAACTGTGAATGGTGATTTTGCAGGTAATGCAGATAGCTCTCTCGTTCGACATTAAACCTTGGATGATCTGCTTCTCGACATGTTCGCATATGTGCGGGAACGCAGCTTCATGGGCAACTAATGCTTCTTTGGCATGAGCCTCCACACCAGTTGGTGTAAATGTGGAACCTCTCTCTGGGGGGATGTATGCTTCATAGCAATATGTTTGTGATATTTTGCTTCCTTTGCTACGAGATCCAGGTCAAGCAGACACAGGATTTTATGGTCGTGTACTGTATAAGTTGAGCTTTCTCCTTTATATCAGATTCTCAACTTCTTGTTATCAGCTTCATCAATGGATCATATTTCTGAATATATTTCTTGACCCTTTTTGAGCATAAAAAACATTGATCTTGGGCAGAAGAGTTGTAGTGGGTGAGACAGGATTACTTTTTCGCCTATTATGTGAATTTTGGACTTCACCATCCATCTCTACTTCATCATGATGACGTTTTGTAATTATTACTAGATAACCATGTTGGTGATGGACAATAGTATATGAAAGAACTTCACACAGTTCTTTGCACCTGTCTGAGTCAGTTTTTCCACTTAGTTGACGGATTCTTGCAGCTTTTCTTATTTATCTAAATATTTCTTGGCTAACGGGATTGATCTTCTCCTTCGATGTTGGTGTAAAGCATCTGATGCAGTCATGTGTATTCTTCTTCTTAAGTCTTTTTTGAGTTTCAGTGGCTTCTCGTCCTCCATTCTCACATCTTACTGAAAGACAAGATGAAATAAAATAATAATTTCGAGTGAAAAAAAAAGAAAGAAAAAAAGATGAATGATTTGGTAAAAAAAATGCAAGTTTTAATCTTTCCGTCGGCCATTTTTTATTTTTGGGCATGATGATGGAATCAAAATGCAAAATTAATATCATCAGTTAATTTCTCATCCCAAAATTAGTGGAAATTGATTCCTTAAAGATAATTGTAGGCCAACTGGATCAAAAGTTAAATTTTTCTTAAATTTCACTGATGACTCATGGCGGCCATCTTTGCTTTCCATTATCGTCCACCCACAACCAGATATCGCGTATATATCAGATGGTTATTGGAAGATATAGGTACCAACTAACCAAATATCATAGCAGCAGTTAAATCAACGAGGAAGGGGGGGGGGACCGTTTCGGTATCTGGCCACCGGTCTATTTGCGTGTGAAGTGTGCCGATATGTAGGTTGGACACACGAAGGACTCGTAGGTATTGTAAAGCTGCGATCACACTCGTGTTTTTACCCAAAATAAATTAACAGTAGCTTTTATTTTTTCAACGAACTCGTCAAATTGTCTCTACAGCAACAGCATTTGTTGTGTCAGAAGTGGGTCGATAAGGAGCTTCTGAAAATAAACGGTACGGCTGAATGAGATTTGCTGTGGAGTCTATTGTATTAATAAAATTTACACAGTTCTTATTTTTCCTTTTTAATGTTAAAATGTCTAAAAAAATATATATATTTCAATAACAAAACACGACTAAAAAGTTATCGAAAATAAAAATAATAAGAATACATTTCGACGGGAACTTACTTCACTCGACTCTTGAGTACTTGCATCACTTTTGTAAACAACATCGCTTGCCTCTACAATCGCACAGTGAACACCAAATTTCCGCCATGAGTACAGCTAGTCTTTCTTGGGACGGAAAGTCTCAGATTGCTCTCATTGAAAAGGTGAAGGACTTCCCGGGAATTTGGGATTATGATAGCCCCGATTTTAAGAGGAAGTATTGAAAATGCATTGCTACCAGCTGATGTGCGACAACCTCGAAACCGAGTTTGAAGAGTTACATCAGCTAAATGCAGGTAAATAGTACTATATCCTGTAATTATCTAACATTAAAGCATTTGCAAACGTATGTCTTCAATGGCTGTTTACTTTGCTTTCTTGAGTTTATATTATTCGAGTTACTGAGACATATGAGCTGCTTGTGTGGGATGGGGATATTTTTCCTGAGTGTGTTTTGTGTGCATATATATAAATATATATATATATATATATATATATATATATATATATATATATATATATATATATATATATATATATATATATATATATATATATATATATATATATATATATATATATATATATATATATATATATATATATATATTTATATATATTCCAAGGCATCACATATCACATATAGCTGGCAGGCTACATATAAAAGAAAATATAATTTACAATTTAAGCAGTGCCATTATGTTTAATGAGTTATAAATGTAGGATGAGTGTACAGATGACCTATATTTAGAAGTTACTGTAAAAATTGATTTGTACATGGTTAGGTTGTATGTAAAGGTGATTGTGATTGGTGGATCTGTTTTCGGCTGTATCACTGTCAGGATAAATATTACACAAACCAAAGGTAGAGATTTTATAATAATAAACGATTCATTGTTATTTAAGGTCATGAAAAGTTTCCAAATGTTCGTATATTGTGTGCAAATAATGAAGAAAATATGATGTGAGAATCTTGTGGCACCTGTGGTTGCAGTTGAGTTGCCAATTCATTAATATAATTTCTTCATTATTTCAGCATATATCCGAAAATTTGGAAACTTCTCATGACCTTAAATAACAGTGAATAGTTTATTATTATAAAAATTCTACCTTTGGTTTGCAGTGATACAGCCGAAAATAGATCCACCAATCACAATCACCTTTACATACAGCCTTCCTTCACAAAGTATTGCCAAGTAAAATTGCGAGCACGTGACCCAGGGTGGGGTCGGTGCATCTTTGGTTGACTGTACAGGGCATGTTTATGTTAGAAGTTATTTTAAAAATTCATATATTTTTGTTGTTGGGCCTACGAACTCTGCTTATATTTCCTCTAGCCATTAGAATAACACCTAATTCTTTTCTTTTTATTCCAGGAGTCACCCGACACTTCAGAGCCACTGATCATTGATCGCACTGATTCGCACCTGACAGACGGTAATGAAGTGATGTCATTCACTTGCAAGCCAAGTTGGTCAAAAGCTACCTCATCCTAATCAGCAGTCACACCAACAAATTGTGAGGGTTTGCTCATCCCCTTTCAGCGTCAGTCGCTCACTTCAACCCCAAAGCCAACAAAATCCAAGAAGACAAGGGATCCAGACGAATTGATGGCCGAAACAATGTCACAAATACAGTGAATTGTTGAGGCCGAACTAAATAAAAGGGCAGAACTCACCCTAGGACAGAAGATGGGTTATTTGGTCGATGAAGTGGCAAAAATGTTGCCCTCCAGAGCGCAGGGCCAAGATGCTCATTGATTTTATGGCAATGTTTTCTAAATATCTGGAATCATACAGTCCAGAACAAGTATGATGGTCCATCAATTGTTCCAGGCTGGTGCTATTATTTTCTTAAGCTTTATGTCTTTATTTTATTCATTATTTTTGTATTTTGAGTGTTACAGTATAATGAAGAAAACTCATGTTTGTTTTTAATTATCCAAGGAGTGACTCAGTGCATAATCATCACTTGTTTCAAATTAATTTTTTTTATGAGAAGCAAAATAAAGCAGTATATATCCTAATATGGAGAAAACAAACCTCTATTGACAGAACTATTCTATTTACAAAAAAACTACAAAGTAAAATTAGTTTCAAAACTAAACAAAGACAAACAATTTTTAAGATGAGTGAAGATGAGTGTAGGAAACACATAGCTTCTTGCCATGGTACCAGGCCCTCAGTCATGAAATAGACTTTAAAGGCATCCCTGACTTTCTTTGCATCACTGGAACGTCCTCTACCAATGCCTGGGATATCCTGTAGGCCATCATGTGGTAATTCACGTCACTGTCCAGGTGTGAAGTGGTTCTCTCTATGTCTTCCCTATCTACCATTTTTTGAGAAATTAAACCTCCTCTGGAAGACATCCTCAAGTAGCTGTGCAGGACAACAGTGCAAATAATTATGTCGTCAATGTTTTTTGGGGATGTGCAGATAGGCTATTTGAATATCCTAAATTTGGCTGACAGTATGCCGAAAGCATTTAAGGACAAGCGACGTTCACGAGACAACCAATAGTTGAAGATTCTTTTATCCGCAGTCAGATCTTCACCCGGAAAAGGCTTCATCATGTAAGTTTTTAATGGGAAGGCATCATCACCAACTATTACATATGGCCACTCAGTTGAGAAGGGCAAAGGAGCACCAGTAGTTGGGACATTCAACAACTTTTGCTCCAAACCTTCCTTCAGAGTACACCTATCCCATATGCCAGCATCACTTGCTCGACCACATGATCCTGCATTGATATACATGAATCTGTTGTCAGCGTCAACCAAGGCCAACATGGCTATACTATTTTGTGCTTTATAATCAAAGTATTCTGAGCCTGACTTTGGGGGCTTGGATATTGAAACCCTCTCTCCATCTATAGCTCCAAAGCACATGGGGAAATTCCAGTTGGTATTGAGCTGTTGTGTTGCCTTCTGCCATTCTTCTACAGGTTCAGGCATTTCAAGTAAGCAGGCAGCTATCAAACAGGGAGGTACTACCGCCTGGGAAGATATTGGAAGCATAATGTGTTGTCTAATGGTAGACCCTGCTACTATATGGCATCACGAAAATTGTGACCAAGTTCCAGGTTGCTCATCTGACTTTCTGCCTCATTTACACACAATTGCCGGGTCTCAATTGTTTCTCTTACTGTGAAAACACAACATACATAATGTATATCATTTCTCATTCTTGATTTATTTTCTCGTTTTTTTATTTATTTATGGTTATTATTATTTTTATTATATTATTTTTATTTTTAGTACAGGTATTTTGTTATTATTCTTTTAATAATAATAATAATACTAATAATAATAATAATAATAATAGTTATTATTATTATTATTATTATTATTATTATTATTATTATTATTATTATTATTATTATTATTATTATTATTATTATTATTATTATTATTATTATTATTATTATTATTATTATTATTATTATTATTATTATTATTATTATTATTATTATTATTATTATTATTATTATTATTATTATTATTATTATTATCATTATCATATTTTCGCCCCCCAGGCCCTGATGTGGGTCAGTGACCTGTGCCCGGGTGGGCTAATCCCCGTACAAAAAAACAAAAAAAACATGGGATGATAGAAAAAATGAGGTTGTGGCCAATCCTGAACTGGAAGGCCAAAGAACGTCGAGATTCCCCTGAAATGACGAAATACAATTAGAAAGATCTGATTACACCACATTGATAGGTTACTTCATTACATGTGGAGAAAAAATATAATAGATCTTCATAACATTTATCAAGGAACAGAAGTAAAAAAAACTAATCTTGGAATTTTGTAGGTACAGACATAAATAAGAGTAATGGTGTCATTTAAGCCAATTGAAAATGCTCTATCTCTACATCTGTGTACAAATAGTTTCTTCTCTACAACTGTATGTATTGTAATAAACACTAATTCCTCACAAATATAGTATAAAGACAACAAATTATATACTTTTTAGACTATATGAAACGATATAGGTCTTTTATAATATAATAGCAAATTCCTGTAGTTGCAACCTATACATTGTGGTCCAATATAACTAGATTTTTTTTTCTACAACTAATATAATTAGAAAAAGAAAAGGTATTTATTTACTTCACAGCCGCTGATTTTTCAGAGAAAATGAATTTAAAAACGCTGCAATTTCCCTGTTTCAAAGTGGACACTGTCGTAGTTATGGCAAATGAGTTAAAAAGTGTGTATTTAAAAGTTCAAGTTAACCTAACCTAACCTAACCTAACTTAACCTAACCTAACCTAACCTAACCTAACCTAACCTAACCTTAACCTAGCATAACTAACCTAACCTAACCTAAGCTAACCTTAACCTAGCATAACTTAACAACTGCTGTGGGCGAACTTACTGTTGCCAAGGCAGGAGGGGGGTGGGGCTGTAAGGTCCTCCATATTAGCCAAAGAAAAAATGTCATATAAATCAATTCTTCTCTCCATCTGAGCTCAAACTATCCGCGTGAGCTGGGCGCCTGGCTGACGGTTCCTTTCGCCAGTGTGACCAGTGTGTGGATCGTACCGTTGACTTATTACCTGTGGATGAAATGCTATCGTGGAATTAGTGGAAGGAAAACTCGAGTGTGACCTTAGCTAAGCGTTGCAGCAACTGGTCAAGCGTCTCAGTGACGCCTTCCCACACTGATTTTCCGTTGCTGGTAGAATTTCGCAAGTGATATGATTAGTAGGGTGTGTCATACGGAAGCGAATTTTTTTTTTTTTTAGTTTGAAAAATCGGCCCATGGTATTAATGATGTAGTTCTATGTGCAGAATCATGCATGGACATGCATGGGGTTGTCCAGGAAAGCTCTGACATGAACATTGGTGAGGCTGCAGGTAAGAGGGGGCTCACTGCCAGCCTTGATGTTATCCAGATCTATGAGATCAGTGAGTGTCTTGGCACCTAGATTGACTTCAGGAGTCTTCCTGACCCTGAAGGAATCGTCACCAACTGATTCGTCATGCCCAGATCCTCTCATAAGTCTCATATCCAAGATCTTTTTGACTGCCACTCTTCTCTCCTCCTCATCCTTACTGCAGAGCATTGTCTGCAGAACTGCCTCGGAATGAGCATACCAGGAAGATCTCCTCACAGTTTGCTCCACAATCTGAACAACCTTCCTTGGCTGACTCCTCAGGAGCTCAAGCTGGAAGAGAACATGCCTCGGACCTTCGGAGAACGATGACTTGACCTTGGTGTTGAACCAATTTGGCAAGTAGACACTCACGATGAATTGGACAATAAGTCTCAGGTTGTGAAGCTGGTTCCCTTTCAGTTTATGATGAGCGACCCAAATTCTGCAGAACCTGAGAGCCGTTGTGAGCCACCTAGAATGTGAGACTGGACCTATCTGCAGGTAAGCAAGTCTATCAGGCATGACCCCAGTTTTGATGGCACTGCAAATCATGTAACCATAGTACTGGTCAGTACTCAGGTCGTCAATGACAGTATGTGCAAGCTCAACGAGTGGGGGGCCAACTGTGATTTTTTCAAAGCTCGGATTTATTTCTAACTCAGTGGCAGAGTCCAGCATCTTGACAAGAGGACCAGACCATCTGTTGTTTGAAAGAGTCTTGCCATCCAGCTCCTGGATCAGATGTCTGAGTGGCAACTCGTTGGTGTGGAGGTCACAAACAATCCAGACCAGCTTCCTCCCAATCTTCCGCTCTATCCACTGTATGACCCCCCCTTGCCACCCCATGTTCGTGTTGGTGCTGTCCCCTCCAATGACCTGCAGGGTCTGGTCTACGTTCCTCTCTCTGAGCCAGTTCACAATGTTATCTGCCACTATCTCAGCTGGTTTCCTGATGTCATCTTTCTCTGGAGTGAAATGCCACAAATACTTCCCTCCTGGTTCACTGCAGCAGGAGTAGTGTTCCTCCTTCACCATGGCAGGGAACAACTTGTCAGAATCTCCAACTTTCATGAACACTTTAGTGTCATCCCTTCTCCCATCAAAGAACAAACAATTGATTCCATTTTCTCTTATCCCCTTATCAAACTCCTCTTCTAGGTTACTGACAAGTTTCTCCTGAGCTCTCCTTACTTTGTTATGATCTATCACCAGGTGAACATCATCAGGTGTTATCAAACCACCGTCAATCCAGGCAGCTGTTGCTATCTCTGCAGTTTCTCTGAGACCAGTGTGGTGTCGCATGCTGGCCAGAGCTATGCTCGGGATATCTTTCCTATTTCGAATCTTATGCCTGGAAGGTTTGGGATCATTATTTTCTGGGTTAGGGACAAAGTCACCATTCTCCTGGTCAGCACTCGGATCAGCCATGGGGAATCATTAAACTCTGAATCAGCTTGACTCCAATCATCGGCCTTTTTTACCTCACCCTGGGCCTTCTCAAGTCTCTTTTCCTCGGCAACTCTTCTCCTCTTCTGTCTCTCTGTGGCAGCCTCCTGTCTCTTGGGACTCCGGAATATCTTGGCTAGAAATCATGAGAGCCCCTATGCTGCCAGTCTTCTCTCTCTGTGCTTTGACAAATGCCAGTTCGATCACAGGAATCTTCAGTTCACGCTTGCAAATACAGGAGATGTGGGCCTCGGATTTAAAGTCACGATCGCATCCAAACTCAGGACAGAGAACAATTGGGCACTTGCAAGTAATTATGTCAAATAACTGGTCCAGTTGCTTGGCAAAGCTGTCCTTAACTGCAAGTTTTCCTCTCCCAAGAGAGATATCTCTTGCCTTTTCCCAACTGGCTAGCAGTCTCTCACTAATCTTCTTCTGACTTGTTATGACTGGAGGCTTGAACTGAGCGTTAGCCAGAGTGTACTGTGCCAAGACAGCTTTGGTCATATCACTGGCAATGTCTTTGTTTGTGTAAGTTCTTTGGTTCTTTTCACTGATTTGCCTGATTAAAACACCGTATCTCAAAGCATCTCTCAATGTAGGCAACTCCGACTTCAGGAGCTCTCTCCCAGACCCAAGATAGTGACTGAGATGGCTGGATTTTTGGTTCCTCGTCCTGACACAAGCAGCCATCGCAAATATTATCAACTTATAAATGCATCAGAATCTGAAACAGAAAAAAAATATTATTAGTTGGGTTGTTAAAGAATGAAGTCAGAAAGCAATGTTCACTATTTAATTGTAATGCACTAATGCAGCTGTACGTTAGATTTTCGATAAATTTCACGCTAAAATTTACCTAGGAAAAGGTTGCAAAATATTGAAACTGAAATTTTTTCTGTTTATATACACTAAAATCTACCAAAAAAGTGATGGGCCATTAGTTTTAGCTGATCTTCCCTCCTATGACACACCCTAATGATTAGGCTTATCTGAATATGTGACATAACATTATCATGAATATATTATAAAAGACAGCAAGTGCAATAGCCAGCCGCGGATTACAAAAAAGCTCCCATCAGGATACAGTATATGTTTTGCCCATACAGTACATCCATAAATCCGATAGGGTACAGTATAAAGGGTCACACGTTGGAGTCACTTTACATCAAGAAATGCTGGTGACGTTTTAGACTGCTTCATATTATCCAGCGTTTATAGTTCCACCGTAGCAGATATGTTAGAAGCATGAAAACAGCTGTACATCAACATAAGTTGTTTGGTGACAATATTTGCATTTGCACAGGTAACGTTGGATTGAAGTAGTGGAGTTATTGTAGATATTGTTTCAGGACAATACGTCCTGTGTGAGGTGACCCACGAAAAAATCTAAAAGTCAAACATTTAATTATGGAATGCCACTCTGTCAGTGATCAATAAATTCTCAGAATGACTTTTCCAAGCTTTTATTTTACATCCTGAAAAATAAAATAAAATTCCTCGAAAAAAAAGGCGTGGCGCTTCATTATCAGTTTAAGCATCACTTAGGTGAGGCGTGAGTGTGAGAGAAGAAGTGTGGATGTGAGAAATGAGGCAAGGATGTGAGAGATAAGGCATGGGTGTGA